TGTCGTTGTTCCTGTTGTTGTTGTGGTTGTTGTTGTTGTTGTCACGTTGTTGTTGTTCTTGCTGTTGTTGTCGTCGTCGTTGTTGTTGTCGTTGTCGTTGTCGTTGTCGTCGTTGTTATTGTTGCTGTTGTTGTTGTCGTCGTCATCGTCGTCGTCGTTGTTGTTGTTGTTGTTGTTGTTGTTGTTGTTGTTGTTGTTGTTGTTGTTGTTGTTGTTGTTGTTGTTGTTGTTGTTGTTGTTGTTGTTGTTGCTGCTGCTGCTGCTGCTGCTGCTGCTGCTGGTGTCGTTGTTCCTGTCGTTGTTCCTGTCGTTGTTCCTGTTCCTGTTGTTGTTGTTGTTGTTGTTGTTGTTGTTGTTGTTGTTGTTGTTGTTGTTGTTGTTGTTGTTGTTGTTGTTGTTGTCGTCGTCGTCGTCGTCGTCGTCGTCGTCGTCGTCGTCGTCGTTGTCGTTGTCGTTGTTGCTGTTGTGGTTGTGGTTGTTGTTGTTGCTGCTGCTGCTGTTGTTTTGTTGTTGCTGTTGTTGCTGTTGCTGCTGCTGCTGCTGTTGCTGCTGCTGCTGTTGTGGTTGTTGTGGTTTTTGTTGTTGCTGATGTTGTTATGGTTGTCGTCGTTGTTGTGGTTGTTATGGTTGTTATGGTTGTTGTTGTTATTGCTTTTATTGTTGTTGCTGTTGTTGTGGTGGTTCTTGTGGTTGTTGTTGTTGTCTCTTTGGGCGGGCCCGAACCCAATCTACTTTATCGACCTTCCTACTTCGTGTTTCCACTTACTTTTTCCGACTTGCGGGTATATCTTTTCAGAGCTCAGTTCGATTCCTCCGTTTCGATTGAATTTCGATGGCCTCCGATTCCGATTCGGTTCGACGTTGGATTCCGATTTGGGTTCCGATTTCTCAACGGAGGTTTGCTAGCCTGCCGACTTCCACCGGTTCGACTTCTCCCAATTCGGCTGCCGATCTCCGCCGACCTGATTTCGGCGTCACCTTAATATACTAATAATACTCTGTGCGCGTCGCCCCCCAGGGGCGACGTGTGCACCGAGAAATCTTATAGCATATGCGTCGTGGCGGGCGCTTTCGGCCACACCGCTCGGGAAACGATATACTACGATATTGGTATACGATATGTTCGGGTCGGACGCGCGCCTCCGAGGAAAACATAGTGCTAGTATGTTTTTGAGCATCCCATGATTCATTTCGATCGCCGATCCGACTTGTCGATTCCATTCGAGGCTCTCTTGCATAAGCACTCGGCCGTTCTAGACGGCCGACCCCCTCTCGCCCCACCCCCTTGTTGGGCGCGCCGACAAGCCGAAGACCGCCGAAGACCGCCGAGCGCCGATGGGGGAGAAGGAGGAGGAGGAGGAGGAGGAGGAGGAGGAGGAGGAGGAGGAGGAGGAGGAGGAAGAGGTGGAGGAGGAGGAGGAGGAGGAGGAGAGGGAGGAGGAGAGGAGAGGAGGGAGGAGGAGGAGGAGGAGGATGGGAAGGAGGACGGGGATTCAGGAGGAGGAATCAGGAGGAGGAGGACCACTGAAACGAGCAGTGGCTGGACTTTTGTGTCGTAGTCTGCTTGACATGCCTTCCCACCTCAACAGCCGAACGGTCTGATTGGGAGAGCCTGCTGGCCGGTGCCGTTGACCCTGAAGGGGGACGACGACGCCGGCGGCGGCGACGGCGACGTGGGCGACGCTGACGCTCTCGAGCCCGTCTTAGGGCTCTCTTGGAAGCCTCTTGGGGGGCCTCTTGGGGGACTTTTTGGGAGGTATCGGCCCCGCTCCTTCCTCGCGGACGCACCGAAGCCTGACCTGTCTCTCTGTGGCACGCCTTCCTGTTTCATGCTTCTCTTAGCGGGCGAAGGATGGTATGACATACACTTTTCCGCCGCCGGGGACGCCTGCCCCCCAAGCAGCTGGAAAGCTCATAGCCCTGCGTGGCGCCGCAAGGGGCAAAAACTCTGCAGCCGCCCGGGGGGCAGGCGTCCCCGACGGCGGAACTTACGCCGTTCTTCGCCCCCTACGTCTCCCTCCTGCCTTCGACCACCGTGCCAGGGAGAGCGCCCGCCCGCGCCGCAGGCCTTCGGGGGCTCTCTCTCGTCCCCGCCCCCTCGGGGACTCCTGCAGCCTCCTCCTCGGCCTTAGGGGGCCACATGTGAACCCTACCCCTACCCTCCACGATTTCTGAGGGGGAGGGTGGGGTTCACTTCGCTCGGGGGTCCCCGAACGAAGTCCCGAAGGTTCGCATGTGGCCCACTAGGCCTGCCGTCCCGAGTCCGTTCCGGGGTCCGCCGCTGAGGGCCGCCGCGGGCCGCCGAGGGCCGCCGAGGGCCGCCGAAGGCCGCCGCAGGCCGCCGCAGGCCTCCGCAGGCCGCCGAGGGCTAGGGCCGCCGAGGGCCGCCGGAGGCCGCCGCGGCCGAGGCCGAACGACGGTGCTGGCACCTCCGAGGGCCGCCGAGGCCCGCCGTGGCCTCCCTCGAGACACTGCAGGCCTTGGGCCCCGCCCGAGCCAG